AAAAATATATAATGAGTTAATTCTAAATCTGAACATATTTTGACCTAAAAATCATATTTAATATATAAAAGTAATATCGATTTTTTGACAGTTTCACCCTTTCTATTGTAAGAGTCCCATATCAGTCATGTGAAATGTCGAAAAATTTTGAGCAAGTATAGGGAACAACACGCAATGGACATTCTCAGATAATTAACAACCGTTTATAAAACATTATCGAGATGTGAGGTAACTTCGGTAAAATAGGTAAGTTCGAGATTTAAAGTTACTTCCTAAATAGTTATATATAAATCTTTTGGATGTGTGCATAGATCAAAACTAGTAGAGTGACAACACAACCATTCGCTTTTTCGGTAACTACTAATTAGATGTAATTTAATATATTTTGATGTATTCCATTTCTAAAATTTCTCGTGAGGACGAAAATAATCCTTTTATAGAGAAGACAGGGGAAAAGTTCGCTGAAATATGAGGTTAGTAATAATCGACGTTAAAATAATCTTTAAAAATTATTATCTACAATTTTGATATGAGTTCATATTATTCAAGGTCGTCTTATCATGGAGTCATGCATTGATCATAAATAAATGTTTCTGAAAGTGACGTAAGCTTTGAAAATATCTTCTTTTAGTACGTATTATACTCTAATTCCGTTCTCTCTTATCTCTATATATTTTCGAAAATTCAGATAAAATCATCTTTATCATATGCGATAGAAATTGATATGTTATTTTAAATATTAAATATATGATAAATCGCTTTTATATTAATTTTATCTTACATATCACAGTAACCATAATTATTATTTAATTATTATATTCTCTATAAAATGATCAAGCTGTTTAATTCGGGTCAATCAGTTAAATGCGGAGATGGCCCATTCGTTGCGATAACATTTCGATCAAAAATGTCAGAAAAGTTAGAATTGACAGAATTCGATCGTCATGATCTCTTAAAGAGCAGATACTAGACTTTCGACCTTGTGAAGGTTTTAGTTAATGGAGAACTTGATCATGAAAATTCAGCTCCATGATTATAAAAAAAATTAAATAATCAGATTTACATAGCGGCAACATGAGGTACCTTTTAATTAGACTTGAAGTTCCAAAAATTTTGTATGTGTATCTGGTTATTACATTCTTTAACTTTTTTTTTAGGATTTATTGAAGAAAGTCTTATACAGTATATTTTTTTTGCAAATTATCAACCAATTAGCGTGAGACGGTCACATATTATGCGTAAATTCTCACATTTTCGTCTCTGAAAAGGCTTGTACTAAAATTGTCGAGTTACAAGTCCAAAATTCAACTTAGCATTATTTTATTAAAAGTATTATTGGTTGTTAATTTAATGATGTGTTCTCTGGATCCAATACTAGGAAATCTTATTATGATAAAGTATTTATTATAAGAATGGTTTTTTACAACCCAAAAATAAAATAATAGTCTAGCAACTATCATGAGATATTTGTTTATTAATGTTAAATTTTATAACTATCATTCACAATTCCTTAGTGAAATAACATACATTATATTAAGAATATTTTTATTTCATAACGTATCCTCCCCTATTAATATGCTAACACCTAACCCTAACTAACCCTAACTATCTCTTGACCCTAACTCTAACCGTGACAAATAGATATGCTTGACAAATAAGGTTTCGCTACTCAAAAAAAACTGTCCCCTGAATAAATAGTAAAAACGGAAACTTGAGGGGTGTGATACGATGTGATACAAAGAGAGGATATATAATTCCGTGGATATAATTATAATATACTGTTATCTTAAATAGTTTAATTCCTTAGAATTATTTAATTTTATGTTGCAAATTATTTAAAGTTCTAAAAATCAATTATTTTTTTTTTTCACGTGTGTTTCTCTCGATTACTTAAAATAGAACTATCGAAAATATGACATTAGTCGCCTAATGAACCAAATTTAAACAAAAAAATAAATAGAATCATTATAAATAGTATTTATTTATTTATAATTAATGCCATAATCAATTCAAATATGGTATGGATCGCTAATGACTGGCATGTGAATAATGGGCTCGGGTTTCTGGTCTAAGATTCGAATTGTTTATTGTCTAAGAATAACGCCAAACTTTATTCATTATAAAATGTCAAATAAAAGCATTTTCGTTCCCAAGTTTTTTTCAAAAAAAAAAAAAATTTCAAAGTGTTCAATTATTACATTATCTTAAGAAAAGATGCAGTTTACATACCACATTGTATATTCAATATTTGTCTTCGGTTTATTTATTTCCTATAACCCAGCGCTATGCGTGTTATACAAGTATACTCGAGATTATCTTATCAACAATTTGTTTTTCATTGAACCAGCGGAAACTGCTTTTTCACTTGACGTCAACCCGATAAGTTATCCTGATAAATGTGAATTAAAACAATTAAACTTGATTTCTAGACACGGTAATTTAAAATTTCGCACAAAGTGTATAAGTTCATAACATAAAATAATCTGGGGGGTTTTTTTTCCTTAAATTATTAGGATCAAGATATCCAAATCCAAATGATATTATAAATTTTGAAAAATTGGAAAAAGTATTTTCTAAAGTTTCTGCTGCGAAAGAATGGGTAAAAAAACTCACAATTAAATTATGGAAATTCAATAAAATATTGTCGTTATTAACAAAAGATTTATCATTGTTATTCAAAATTCTTAGTATAAAAATCCTTTCCCTTTGAGGAAAAATAATCAATTGGTCAAACGAGGGGAAATCGAACCTTTTTTTGATGGTCTACAATGTCGTAAAAGGTACAAAAAGTTTTGGGATGGTGTTGAATATGATCCGGAAGTTATAAAATTTCAGAGTACTCAAACTTCAAGGTATTGTTTTTTTACATCACATTTCATCATTTTCCTAAAAACACATTAAATTGATGATGTATATTTACCTTAAGAGCCGGTGCGTCGTTAATGTCCTTCAGTGAAGGATTATTCAATGGTTACGGGCCATTAGACGCTTGTAAAAGTCAACCTATTTATTACTGGAATCTACCACTGGTAAATTTGTTGCGCCAATTGTAATGATTTATTTTCGTTCAGAACTTTTACACATACTACACCTCCTGTATTAGGAACAAGACTCTACATTAAGCATGTTTACCTCCTGTCGACGCTGGAACGAGACTGTGAATACTAATAATCCATTACGTAACGAACAAATCTATTTATATGGTAACAAGACTCTTGCACCAATTGCCAAGAGAATTTCCAAAGATTATCATATTAGTCCACCTCTTGATCCACATCTAGTACCATTTATATTTACTAATTGCCAATTCTGGCTCACTGTTTATAATCGAACCGATGCATGGTGTTCTTTATTGAGTCCTAAAGAACTTTTATTATCACGATATTTTTTTGAGATGGACTTTTATTATCGATTATCATATGGTAGCCCACTTAATTTACGAATAGGTTGTAGATATATTACCGAACTTGTTAATGGAGTTGAAGGTTATTTGTATGGTAATTCTTCCGTGATAGCTGATTTAAAATTTTCTCATAGTTTTTCTATGACAATGATACTTACTACACTCGTATGTAAATTTGTGCACGTTCATACATTTTTAATTCATTTTTGTTTATTTACCTTATTAATTCATGATAACGATATATGTTCTTTTAATTTACAGGGGTTATTTAAAAATGAATATCCACTCACGGGAAATTTAACCTTTGAACAAATTCAAAACTTCGAATATTCAGAATTTAGGATCATACCCTGGTCTTCTACGATTTATTTCGAAATTTATAAATGTTCCGGTAATAACGTATACATGCGAATATTACTTGATTTTAAACCGCTTTATATTCCGGGTTGTGGGGAATATTGTGAGTGGAACAAATTTAAAATGATTCTTGGTGATAAGATTGGGTGCGACTACGAGAAGTTATGCGCTTATCCTTGATCTATTTTAAAATTTTGTCTTTCGTATCAAAACATTTTTATTAAAATCGTGATTCTATTTAAATATTTATTCTTTATCAAGTATTGAATTACTAATTTTAATAACAAATTTCACTCAGTTTTTTTATTAAAAGTAATATTTTTAAAAAAATTTAGAGAGTCTTCTTATATTTCGATTATGTAGATAGTTGAGAGAATAAGATAAATTTATCAGAGAATTTGTAACACACGAACATTTAATTTGTGATTTATAAATAAATGTATTAATTAACTTTCAAATATTTATTTTTTGTTCTTTTGATTTATCATTCATTTGTAGAGGATGATAATCATTTCTATATTTAGCATTTTTTGGCTTTAATTTTTAAAATGAGCGGGAAGAAAACATAAAACATATCACTAGGATTTCAGAAATTTTTGTTAATCTTCAATTAATTAATCGCAAATTTTTTATAAAAGCATAAATTTTTCTTGTAAAAAATATTATTTTTTAATAAGTTATAAAATTTTGGCTCCTAAACAAGAATTATAACGGATTTGAATAAAAATATTTGTAAATGGCGAAATAAAATTTTACCTGTGGTACAATTCCAATAGTATACCGGCTGACTTTTACAAGTGTATAAAGTCCCCTTGCCATTAAATAAACCTTCAGAAAAGACATCATTGACGCACAGGTTCTTAAATAAGAAGGATACCACATATTCATCATTATTTTTTTTATCAATATGTGAACATCCAATCATGCTTATTTATCCAAATACTTTCTCCAATTCATCAAAAACTATAATACTATCTGGATCTGGATATCTTGATCCTAATATATTTAAAGGAAAAAATAAAGATAATTTTATGCTATAAAATTTATACACTTTGAACGAAATTTTAAATTACCGTGTCTAGTAATCAAATATAATTGTTTCAAGTCACATTTATCAGGATAACTTATTTGTTCAATGTCAAGAGCAAAGGCAGTTTGTGGTGGTTCGAGGTAAAAAAGATGTTCGTTGAAAAGAAATTTTCGAGAATACTTGTACGGGTTTGATTGTAGGAAACAAATAAATTGATGATAAAAATGGAATATAGAAAACGGTATGTAAACTGCATTTTTTATAAAAATTCCAACTTAAATTTTTTTTTTTAAAAGAATAAAAGTTGGAAGGTAAAGTTAGCATCCTTTTACAGTATTTAATTTCCATTGTTATTAATTAGTCCAATATATATTTCCGTTCAAAAAGTAATTTTATTTGATTTTAGGAAAATCATTTTAACAATTAACCATTAATGATATTTTTGAACGAAATCAACTTTGTGTTATATTTTAAAACGACAAGGCCATGTGAGATTTTTGTTTCCTTCCTTTATAGATTAAAAATTTCAACCGAAAATATTACCTTTGGTTTTTCTGAAGAACAGGTTCGTCACGTGTATATTAATTTCGACGTAGTATTCATTATTTTCAACATATGAGAGTGTGACATAACCAAAAGTCCGTGATGATTTTAAAAAAATCGTTTAAACAAAGAAAAGAATATTTAAAATAAAAATTTATAAATTAATTTTTAATGTTATGACATTTGAGTTATAACTATAAAACAGAATAACAGAATGCTATTAACGTTCTTGAAAAGACCATTGAGAGTTTAAATCAAATCATTGATTACCGTTAATAACTAAATAACTATTAAGGGTTGCAAACGTTAGGAATATATATTAATATATTATATTTGACCATTTTCTCAACATTCTCGGTCAAAATGATATAATGAGTAAATTTTTTCATTTGTACTGAGCCTTAATTCATTTTAGTAAAATTTTGGTTGCAATTTGTAAAGTTGAATTGAAAAAATCTAATTTTTAATTGCGTTATTAATCAGTATAAACATACAAAATGTTTACAAACCGATCCTTTAACGCTCTTTAAGACCAATATATTTCTACATGTATACTACACTTAGATTGAATTTTATGCTTTAAATTCTCTGGTTTAACTTTAAAAATTTAATGCTAATAATATGGGTTATTAAAACCAAATTTGAATAAAATGACCCATATGTGCGGCTATACTATCCTAAATAGAATAAATTGAATAATTTTAAAAGAAAGTTTAAGGTACAGTATAAGCAATAAATCAAATGTTGGTTAAAGACGAAATAAACTTGTCATCATTTTATTATTTTAGTAGTAGCTTATTTAATAGTAAATCATGCTCAGGTGAAATAAAATTATGTAAAAAATATATATATACAATATATAACTAAAATATAACAACTTTGTTTACTTGGTACTTTTGATAAAAAAAATTTACTTCCAAAATACTAAATATTGTCGTAGCGAAGAACTTTTAAGGATTTAGGAATGTTGGTAAACTAGTATCTGACGGAATTATTTATTGCTGTCTATATTTGTTTTATTTTATTTTTATATGATCTTGGATGATTTCACGCAGAAAAAATATTATCTAATAAACATTGTAAAAGGTTTTTGTGATGTACTAATTACTATTAATTGGCTCAAATTTAACGTCACAAATAAAAAACTTATAGATAATCGGAAATAATTGATAAATAAAAATAAATTTTTCGTCGTTAACATATTGCGACTATTAATTATATAAAATAATCTTTCACAAATATTTACCGATGTTGAATATTTAATGCCATCTTCTTGTTGAAGTAAAAACGCATAAATAATCTCTGAACTTCTTGATGCTTTACTTGCATTAATGAATTCTAATTTCAACATTATATAATCAACTTTATCTAGGCTTTTGTTAGACTTCTTTTTAAACATATCTACAAGTTCTGCAAATGATCCAATAGTTTGCGCGGCAGTAATAAAAATCAAAAAAAAATTTTTAAGAATTTATCTAACCAAAATCCAAACCAGTTTGAATTTAGTTTCTCAATCGTTGCCGCAATAAAAACAGAGAGGCGAAGTAAATATCCTAGCGGATTTGTCAACAAGTACTGGAGCAGTTAATGACAAAAAAAAATTCTTATGTGGAGTGCAACTGAAAATATCGCCTAAAAAGATTATAAAGTCTATATTTATCAAGTAGCTAAATATAAAATACTATGCTTACACAAATTGACAACGCAGTATAAACTTTATATGAAGTAAAATATACTACGGAAATGGCAGCAATTATTTTTTACGAGGAGCGTCAAATATGTACAACATAAACCCTACCAAACATTCATAATTTTTCGTATTTATCAGACAACTAGAGATGCAATTATCTAGGGACTTCAAACACTTAATTCATTGCACAAAATATCAATAATTTAAAGACATCTTGTTTTAAAAATAAAATTTCAAAAACTTATTAAATGATGATGATCAACAAAATAATGCGATGATTATTTTAAAATTAACAAAAACAATTATTTTCTATCTAATTAGAACAAAAAATGTTCAGATTCAAATTATCACCATTGGTTATTTTATTAATTACCAACTAGATTAGGTTGGCGTGCGGCGACTATGTCGTCACTAGTTATGGTTATATCGATATACTTTATTAAGTTATCGCCGTGACGAGAAAGGTCCATCCGAAGTGCCACGTCCGCACTCGTTCGAAAGGGCGGAATCGGCCCTAACCTATAAAAAATATTACAGCTGTTCTCATATTTTTCGGAACAAAACAAATTTTGAACCTGACACTCGATCCGATAAGCGGGAGTAAGATCACGTGATTATAAACATTTTGTTTACAGATTGTAATACTATTAGGACAATAATGTCCGGTATTTTGTTTATCGGTTATAGTTTATTTAGTTTGTTTATTTTTAGTACAAAATCCAGAAACACGTGATATCCGCATATCGGATCGGATGTCGGGTTCAAAATTTGTTTGTCCCGAAAAATATGAAACAGCTGTAATTAACAATAAAATAGACAATATAACATACCTGCCTGCGCCTTTTCAATAAGCCAAAGTGGTAAATCTACTGATCTAACCTATAAAATCAAAAATCGAAAAAAATAAACAAAATATTAATCAATAATTATTAATTTATTAATTTATTATTAATTAAATCAATAATCAACAATAGGAAACAATTTCACTATGCCGTCGCGGCAGATTCAAATAATTTTTTTTGAAAAAATATATATATATTTAAACAACCTTTATTCCTTGAGGTAGATTCCTCTTCTACCTTTACCTTTACCTTATCCTCTATCTCTTAGTGTTAGTGTTAGTGTTAGTGTCAGTGTTAGTAGTGTTAGTGTATATAAAAATGGCCGGTCGTTGGAGTTACACGAATCGCCTAAAAACTAATTTTTTTTGCCGTAACTCAGACCCTCCTTTAATACTACAATTATTTCTAGGGGTATACATATAAACTGTACGGTCAGCTAAACTGTACTGTATGAAATGATATCAACCAATCATATTTTATTGTACAATAAATATAAAAAATTAAAAAAGTGTACAATTTATGATTGGCTGAAACATTCGTACAGTACAGTTTATCTACATGCCCATTCCGGACTAACAATTTTTTAAAAAATAAAAAAATGTCTAATAATAATTATAAAGGTAATAGCGTAATAAAGAAATTAAAAATATTTTTTTAACAAAAAAAAAGGAATAAAAGATATGAAGCTTCGTATGACTAAAATTAGTTAATTTGACGGTTTGATAATATTTTAATCTTTTTTTTTTCATGAATTTATTATTAGAGCCAGTTTCGGATGTTAAAAAAGCTTCCTCATTAGAAGGTAATACATGCCGTTAATTATACTCATTTTTGTTTGCTAAAATTAAATTTATCAAATTTGAAAAATAGAAACAGTTTCAATTGATAAAGATAAATACAACAATGTAACCAATACTAAAAGAATTTGTTAATTATATTTTATAATGTAGAATTGACCTTGTATAATGAATGTGAATATAATAATTACCATAATACTGTAATTTGTCATTTGTTATTTATGTTTTTATTTACTGAAAATTTTAAATAAACTTGAAATATAGTATTAATTTCAAGT